ATCTTGATTCAGCCTCCTGAGTGCTGAGATTACAGGTGTGGGTCACCAAGCTCCTCCTCCTCCCCCTTCTCCTCCTCCTCTTCCTTCCCATCCTCCTCCTCCTTCTTTTTCTACTTCTTAATGTTTTAAGCCATATAAAGAACCGCAAGTATCTATGGATCTACTCCAAGAGTTTCCTGATGAGGCCTGGGCGCACAGCTTACTGAAGGAGCACAGTTCAAGGATCCTTCATTACACAGTAAGGCCAATCTGAAATACAGGAGACTCTGTCTCAAAAACATAAACAAACACTTTAAATCCACTTTCTCTGCTCCCAAATCCCTTTTCCCCCAAGACAAGATTTTTCTGTGTAGCCTTGGCTGTCCTGGAGCTCACTCTTTAGACCAGGCTAGCCTAGAATTCACAGAGATCCACTTGTCTCTGCCTCCCAAGTACTGGGATTAAAGGCGTATGTCACTCCTACCCCTCCATCCTTTTTTATTTTTAAATCTATTTTCTGTAGCAACTCTGTTCAATAGAAATGTATATGAGACACAGAATTTTGTGTTATAGAAGCCATGTTGAATGGTCAAAACAAACAAACAAACAAACAAACAGGGTTGGGTATGGTAACAGATGCAGACAGATCTCTGTGAGTTCCAGAGTAGCCAGGGCTACATAGTAGGATCCTGTCTCAACAACAACAACAAAGCTAAAAAGAAAACAGAAAAATCTTAATAAACTTCATTTAACCTGATATGTTCATTACAATGTACAACTAATTTAGAAAACATTAATAAGATACTTTACACTTTAAAAACACTAAGTCTATCTAATACCCAATTACCCAGCATGCTGTATATTATTTTACATTGCTGGACTTCTTGCTTGTGTCTTCAAGTATAGTACATATTTATATTTTCAGAACATTTAAATTTGGGCAGTCAGCATTATTCACCTAATTAGTATATGTGGCTCTTGACTCCCAAATTGGAGAATACAGCTCTATAAAGCAAAGGCAGCTGGGTGGACCCCAAGTCCACCATGTGGGGACTGTAACTCATTCAGCCTCACAATAACTCCAGGAGGCTGTGCCTTTCATCATCTGAAGCATGTTTTGCTCTTGCAAGGATGTGGTCCTGAAAGTTTGGGAGTTTTGCAAACCGCTTTCCTGTCATGACGGGGTAGACGGCTGGCTGCAAGGACTTGAGTACAGAGGAAATGAGAGACTTGGCCAGAGGCTAATGTTATCCAGAAAATTGGATGGTCAGCTGGGCTTGGTGACACACACTTATAATCCCAGCTCTCAGGAGACAGAGGCAAGAGAATCACTTTGAGTTTAGGGGCAGCCCGATTTACATAGTGAGTTCCGGGTTTATGGAGTGAGATCTTGTCTCAAAGAGAAAAAAAAAAAGAAAGAAAGAAAGAAAAGGTTGATGATTAAGAAAAAAAGTCAAGAGACAGAGGGAAACGTGAGGACAGAAAAAAACCTTCTGAGGGGTGGAGAGACATGCAGGGGAGGTAGGCTGAAGAGGAGGCAGGGAGATGGAGAATACAAGAGATGTGGACGGTGTTTCCCACCTAGCAGAGGCTCTGATGGAGAAATTGCCTGGCTTGGCCAGACCTTGCACCATAGCCTTGCAGCTAAAGCGAAGACTAGAAGATGCTTGCTTAGTTTATCACAACAAAGGGGCAGACACAGTAACTTTAACTCAGAGCTTCTATGCAGTGGGGTGTTGGCGCTGCTCACCATGTTCCCTGATTTAATCTCTGCAGACTTCCCATAGAAAGCTTAATGGGTATGCACCTGAGGTTTGGTTTTGTTTTTCAAGACAGGGTTTCTCTTTGTAACCCTGGCTGTCCTGGAACTCTGCAGACCAGGCTGGCCTCAAACTCATAGAGATTCACCTTCCTCTGTCTCCTGAGTGTTAGGATTAAAGGTGAGCACCACCCTCGCCAGCCCTGAGGCAAGATTCTTGATCAAGTCTCATGGTCTAGTACACAGAGTCTGGATTTGGGTCCATGCCATCTCAGAGACTGAGGAAAGAGAAAGAGACAGAACCAATACAGGTCAGGTTTGTTCAGCAGAGTAGGAGCCAGGTTTCTCCAAAGAAATCAAGGCAATAGGTTGGACAGATGTAGAGTGAGATGAAAACAGCCTGGCAGATGTGGTGTGTGTGTGTGTGTGTGTGTGTGTGTGTGTGTGTGTGTGTGTGTGTGTGATGGCCCTCCATTTGTGACAGAGGACAACTTTTCTGAGTAGGAGCTCCTCTTCCACCAGGTAGGTTCCAGGGATCTGAACCATCTGTCCACATTTAGTTAGTGTCTTTTCACTATGCATATCGTTTTGACATTTGACATGTGTGCTTTAGTTTTGAAGTTTCTTAGTGG